TCATGTGGTTGGATATTATCCATTACCAGCCAATCAATATAGCTCATCTCCTTGGTTGCAGTGATTAGTTAAGATGGAGCACTTAATCCAGCCTTACACATATTTATTGGACCATAGTGGTTAGTTCAAAGATAGGCATATGACTAACCCAAATGAAGGTGAACTTAAGAACTTGGGCCCCAAATGCTCTATTTGGTGACATAAGGATATGACATTCAGAATGCAGTAGCCATTTTGTGAACCAAAGGAGAGCCACCTAGGGGCTGAGCAGTGTGGAGGAAGAAATCCTGACAATATTTTTGACCTCTAGATGCAGCTGGATCTACTCTAGGGTTTTGAGAAATCATTGCCAAATCCAATGTTATGAAGTTTGCCCTATGTTTTCTTATAAGAGTTTTATAGTTTTAAGTCTTATGTTTATGTCTTTGATTCATTTTGAGTTAATTTATGTATATAAATTTAAAAAGTAAAGTAAGGTCCAATTTCATTCTTTTGCATGTGGATATCCAGTTTTCTGCAGCCTTCTTATCACAAACCAACATTAGCTGGATTTAGGTTAGGGATAGTTTTCTAAGAAAAACTTGCTACTTAGATATAATTTAACTTTTTCTGAAAAAAATTGAACATTTATGCCATTTAAAAATAAATTAGTATTAAATATACACTCAATTAATTTTATCTTTTCAAAGATGCATTTTGCAAATGTTTATTTTTCTAAACCTAACTTCTTGCTATGTAAAACTACTTTATTTAGGAAAATATTTATATCTACATATCTAACTACTGGAACAATTTTTTTTTTTTCTTTACTGAGAAAAGTGGTAGCTAGTTTTGGAAATTTTAAGTTTATGCATGACTTTTGAAGTACTTGGTCATCTAGAAGTACAGCCAGGAAATAGGCACCATAGAATCTCTGAGACCAGGGAGGGGGAAAAAACCCATTTGAGGAGAAAAATCTAAGAACAGTAAAACCCTCCAAAAACTTTCCTCATACCACATCTTCTTGAAAAAGGAAGACATCACTACTCTCAAATCAACAGTCAAATGAATGATTCAGATATCATTAATTTTTTTATAACTTGCTTAAAACTATAAAATAGGCACAGTTTCAAAATTATTCTATCAAGTCAGCATTATTGTCACTCATAAAGCTATTCCATAATTGGAAAAAATTAAAATAACTCTTCAAATATTAAATATTTCTAGATTATTGTACAGAGCAAATTCTGATCATCAAACCAATGTCTTTTTTCTTCCCATTAGTCAAATAATTCGATTATGAACTACAACCAAAATATAAACTACAATTATATTAAGGTAAATACAGCACATTCTTAGTTCAAAAAAATACTGTTTCCTGTCAAATTGATAATCATATTCATATAACTTGAATGACTACATTGGCATACAAAGACTCTATCATCCTTTAAAAACTTTCTAGTCTATTTCATTTTAAATACTATCCAATACCCTTTAACAATATTAATATACCACCAAATTACTTTCTTTTTTTCCAAATTACTTTCTTTATAGAGCAAAGACAAGCACTTTAAAGCTTGTAAAGTGACTAATTCTTAATGTTGTCAAATTAAGTTAAGCAATTTAACACAATTACTAAATGTACCAACTTCTTAAAAAATTGTAGTAATTAGAGAAACTGTTTCACTGTCTTTTATAATGTACATAAATAACTTGGTTTAAGCCAAATTGTTTAGGCAGGCTGGATTTTTCTTTTTTTTCTTTTTTCCAGAATTCTGGTCGACATCCTTGAAGTCCCATCCAAGTTTTTGTTTATAAATTGCATTCAGCCAAATTGAATGAGAGCATTTGCTATTACAAAATTGGATCACTCCTTTCTCTGTTTTGAGTTCATATTGTTAAAGTATTGCACATTCTTATTTTGCTTTATACCTACTACTGTCAATGTTAAGGGTACTCTTACTATAGACAAAATAACATTGATCTGAGTTAGGCAGCTTTCAGATTTGCCCATTGCCTGGATAGGCCCTATACCATACTTGCTACTGAAAATCCCACCATAAGAACCTGTTAGAAGTTAGGAGGGTTAGGAGATGATGTTTGGCCTTCGACTATCACTTCCTCTCTAGGAAGTGATGACATTGAAGTAAATGAAGTTTCCTTCCATCCTTAAACTGAATAAACAGGTGATGAGAAACAAAGACACCTGAGTAAAAAGACATACTGCTACATTGCAATTAATCATTTTCAACTCTGCAACTAGTTCTTTCATCAAATTGAGATTATTAGTTCACCCTTTAGTTGAAGACAAATGATAAAACATATCAATTAATTAATTCAGATAATCATAAGGGGTAGAATGAAAATAAGGCAAAGTTGCGGGTTTCACTTCTGCTATGGTGTCAAAATACACTTTCTAGAGACTCAAGTTGATTGTTAGAAGCCTTAAAATGTCCCCTAGATTCCTCCTGTATTCTCATTGTACCTTTTGCCATTTGTATAGTATTTGTCAAAAACTGCTTTGTATTATAGTGCAAATAACCATTTGTGATAGGCCAAAAAAAAAATGATATCAACTCCTTGGAAAGTGTGAATGTTTCCTTACTTGGAAAAAAGGATCTTTGGACATGTGATTAACAATCTTAAAATAAAGAGATTACCTTGGATTACCCAAATGGGTCCTAAATACTATTATAAGCTTCTTTATAAGAGACACACAGAAAAAAAAAATACAGAAGAGGAGGAGGTAGTGTCACCATGGAGGTGAGACAGAGATTAGAGAGATTTAGCCACAAGTCAAAGCATGCCAACAATCACCAGAAGCTGGAAGAGTCAAAGGACAGATTCTCCTCGAGAGTCTTCAAGAGGGAGTGTGCCCTGCTTACACCTTGGATTTGGACTTCTGCCCTCCAAAACTATGAGGGAATAAATTCCGTTGGCTCAAGCCACTCTGTTTGTGGTAATTTGTTACAGCAGCCACAGAAAACTAATATACCCTTCCAATGTTATTTCCTATCACTAAATTCATGGTATTTATGACAAGTTGTAATTATTTACTAGTTCCTTATCTTCTGTCTCACTCCACCAACATGTAAGCTCCTTGAAGGTGGGGCCCTTCCCTGTACATCCAGTCTCTGAGCATGGTATCTAGAAACTATCTGTTAAATGAATGAATGGATAAATGTTTCCCACAGGTAAGTCTCGTAAGACAGAGACTGTGTCTATTGATCTTAATTTCCAAGCTTTCAGCACAGAGCCTTGGAAAAAACTGTTGTTCAACTAGGTTTGATCTGTAGAAATCAGTAAGTCTGTATTCTAGACACTTTACTGCAATTTACAGTTGTGCCATGACCCCACCTTAATCTTGTATGCATCTGTTATTAGGTTTAGCATGTTCAAGAGGGTTTGAGCTGTTCATCTTAGATCTGGTAAGGTGCAGATCCCGATATCATTCATTTTCACATCCTTTACATATCCAGTTCCCAATCCCCAGGCTGCAGACTGATACCGGTCCGTGGCCTGTTAGGGACCTGGCGACAGAGCTCCTCTGACCACCCCCCCCACCCCCCAAACTGATGGAAGAGGTGAGCGGTGGGCAGGTGAGCAAAGCTTTATTTGTATTTATAGCAGCTCCCCATCCTTCACTCGCATCACCACCTGAGCTCCGCCTCCCCCGCCCTCTCATGGAAAAATTGTCTTCCATGAAACTGGTCCCTGGTGCCAGAAAGGTTGGGGATCACTGCTTCACATGATCTACAAGGGTTGGTGTATGGTAGGGACAATAAATATTTGGGGTTTTGAGTTGAAGCAGAATGATACCCAGCTTTAGACTCAGCTATAAATGATACTCAACATTGCCTCCTTGAGTAAATTCCTAATCAACTCTGAATCTCAACATTCGCAACTGAGATTAACTCTTAAACCTCACAGGGTTATGAATCTGTGAACCACTTAGTCCACAGTACGGACTCCATGAGTGGTACGTGATTATCATTAACCTATGCCATTGGCCTAACTCAGCCAGGAGTATACCATTAGACCAGAGTTCCCAACTAGTGCCACACCACTTACTAGCCATATGACCTTGAGCAACCTATTTAACCTTTCTGAGCCACAGTACCTTAGTCAAAAGCTGGCAAAAATACCTTCCATATAAGAAGTGGTTCCGACCTAGAAACAAAATGAAGTAACTGAATAGTTACACTTAAGGGTGTTAGTCTCAATAACGTATGTAAGTTGATTTTGACCAAAAAACCCTGGCTTTTGAACGTGTACAGTGACCTTGAGTAAATATTCCTACTTTCTAGGGCCTTCTGAAACAATGAAAGGGTACATCAGACCCTCCTACTGACTCAACGAACCCGAGTTTGGGAACCTTCCAACCAAAGGGTTCGATGAATTCATGATTCTATCTCCTTCAGCAACCTACCAGTTATCAGTGTTTCGAGGAGAAACCAAGACGACGTGACAGGTACTCTAGAAGAGTCTAGTACCTGGGTTAGCTCTTAAACCACGTTAAATTTGAGCTTTTTGGCTGACGGAGGTCAAGACTTAAGGAGAGCGCCGGTCACAGGTTGGACGTTCCCGCGTTTCTCCAAGAGTCCCGCGGTTGCCTGGGCAACGATACGTCACCGCGTAGCCTCACGCGTCCGTGAGGAAGAAGATTAGACGGTGCGACGCGCAGGCGCCTCGTGAGAGCCAATGGGCGCGGCTGGAATGCCGGTAGCACTAAGCCCCGCCCCTTTCCGATTAGATTCGGGGGTGGGGCGGCAGCGGGAGCGCGCCCGCTTTTCTGAGGCGGGAGGGCGGTTGCTGGTGGCTCCGCGGCGGCTGGGTGCCCAGTCACGTAGGTTACGCACACAGTCTTTCCCCAGGGACGGTCCGGAGCCCGCCCAGGCAGTTGATCCCTCACCAGACCGGGGCATCCTGGAGGCTGGGGCCACGATGGTGCGGGTCGAGGGCTCGAGATGGAGCTGACCAGGGGCCGTAGGGGCTGAGAAGAGCTTGCCCGAGTCGGTACCAAGCACGAAGCCTTTCCCGGCCTTTCGGGCTCCACGGTTCCCGCCCGCCGATTTCCAGCCGTCAGGGTCACGCCTCTCTTTGGAATCCCTGAACTCTGTGCCCCCCAAGCCCTGGCCCCTCTGCGGGAATGTTCAAAAATGAGTACCAGGTAACCCGAAACGGTTCTCCAACCTGTCTATAGCTTTCTCCACTTGGGTGAGGTAGCTTGTGATCGCGGTGAGGATAAAGCCTCTCCCCACCCGGACCTCTCCATAATACTGTCTTTTCTGGGTTAAGGAGGAATTGAAGGATGAATGGTATTGACCCTCCGCCCCTCCCCCAAAAAAGAAAAAGTTACCAAGGTCTAGGCATATGATTTGGCTTTTGTTCACTTTCCAGCTCAGTGCTTCTCGTGGTGTGTGAATTGTCTGTGATTCTGATTGAAAATGCAGACCTTAAACCCCACCCAGACCTCCTGAATCAGAATCTTGAGGGCAGGGTCCAGAAATCTTGAGTTTTAATAAGCGCCCGGGGTACTCACTGCTGATGCACACTGGTATCTCAGAAGCTATTTAGAAGTAAGAGCGAATGAGTGACTGTATGAGTGGGTTAAACCAAGAAGGAAAATGAGCACTTTGTCTATGTGCTATTTTCTCTTTTCTTAAACTGGGGGTCAGTGAATCTCAGACATTGGGGTACATCAGAATCACTTGGGGTACTTGTTAAAATGCAGATTTCCTGACCCTCACCCCAGATGTAGTGAATCAGAGTCTCTAGATGGGGTCAGTTGACTGACCTTTTAAACAGCTTCTCCCAGGTGATTTTAATGCAGGTGGTCCAAGGATCACACTTGGAGACACATTGCTTCTAGGTCTTCCTCTGTCACTTTGAATAACCTAGAGTGTCTCCATGCAACCTGTTTTCCTCACCTCACTGGGCGTCTCCTTTACTTGGTTGGCCCTGATCTCCTGCCCTCCCTCCTCACCTCCGCTTGAGGTTACACTCCCTATTTACAGTCTGTTTACCATCCTAGTCCTACTGTTCTGATGAACTTTTTTCGCTGTATATAAACCATCCTCCACTGATCTCCACCTCTTTTTTGCCTCTGCCTTTTCACCAAATACTACCTACCTCTTTATGAGTGTCCTCAGAGGATTCTACAGTTCTCTTTCTTCTATTCCGTTTAATATCATCAAATGAATAGAACAATTTTAGAGTTTGTTTCACTTCATATAGGTATATTGTTATAAAAAAGCATATGCTTACCGTGGGAAACTTGGAAAACGTGGGAAAACAAAAAGACAGTTTGCTATCTCATCAAGTGTGAGGGTTTTTCTCTTAAAGAAAAAAACAGCCAGCTGTCTCAAATTTAAAATTCATAGTGAAATATGACCTGCCCTCAGAAACTACAGTAATTCTATCCCAAATACAATCTGCACATAATACTGCTCGCTGAAGAAGAAATTAAATGTCTTAATTTCAAGTGATTATTGTTAAAACACAGAAGTGAAAATGCTTTTATGTTATTGAGAAAAATTAAAAGCTGGAAATTCTTTACAGAAATTAGATTTTCTCATGTGTTACTTATAATTCAAATCATATTTAGTCTTCATTTCAGATTCTCAATTTTTGCAGTAAATTCTTCCACAGGTAATCATCTTGTTTAATTCCCCTTTTGAAGTTCTGGAAATTCAGTAATATCTTCAGTGTTTTCACATAAGCATGTCCCTCCATGTTCTCAGGTTTACAAGTGGCCTCTCTATAGAAAGGATTCTCTATTTTTCTTGTACAGATTTTACAGATCTCCAAATTAATTTATATTAAATAGATAAAAATATCTTATGGAACACTCAAAATAAGAATCCCCCGCAATCCCTGCCAGGCCTTTTTATTGACCAGTAGTAAATTATTTAATTTCTCCTTTGTTTTATAATCTTTGATGGCACTATTGAGCCCTTGCTTTGAGTTGAGTATTATGCTTGGTGGTTAATGTTTACTATGCTATGTAATCCAACAACCCATTATATAGATGGAAAATCAAGGAATTAAGTAACTTCAAGATCAGTTAGTTAAAAAGCCAGTGTTGGAGCCCCAGTCAGTATGACGAAAAATCTTGTATTCAGAGATAATTATCATAATTTATTGGCCTGCTTTGAGAATTAGGTTTAAACTGTTTAGTCTGGTTGCAAAACATAGTCTGCAAAATATGATCTGTATGTCAAGTAAATGAGCCCCCTACTAAGAGATTGTGAGGTTTGTGTGGCACGATTAATGTTTATCATGCTTTAAAAATAAATTCCTTAAACCATTAATCCAAGGTGACCCAACTCAGAATGGTTGTAGCTTAGATACAATCAAGGTATAAAGTAGGAGTAATAACAGTGATAATGTTTCATCCCAGATCTACTTAACTGACAGATTCTTGGAACACTGGTTATAAACTATGTGGTGGATAATATTTCCTCCTTAGCATTGTCTTTCACCTTAGTTAAATATTTTGTTTTCATTGTTTAGGGAGGTGCATTTGTTGAAATCTTCAGTGCTCAGGGAAAAAATCCTGGAGCAAAATGGAAGATCCTTGGCAGTCCGTCTGTGATTTGGAAAGTAAGTATTAGAAATTAGAGCCACATAAATCCTGGCAAGAAGGTGAAGGTTATAGAAAGAAGGGCTTGATGAGATTTTAGAACTGTTTTTCCTGTTCTGTCACTGCAAAACCCTTTCATGATATTGTTGGCTGCAGCCCTCCTAGACACCACTCCTCAGTTGTTTAAGACTTTGACACACAGCTCATAACCCCTCTCTGTACTGCACGTCCTGCTGTATCATTCAAGGACTTCACTATCTTTCAGGAAAATCTCTCCAAGCCCTGGGCTTCGTGGTTTCTTGATTTCTTCATCTTTTATGACCTCTTCCACTCTGCTTAGGCATTCATTCCCACTGTCTCACCCTGGTCCTTACCACCACAGACTGCAGGACCTTTGAAATTACTGAGTGAGACATTGAGATGTCCCTCTCTGACCCCACTCTTTCATTCTTAAGGTCACTGGCTCAGTTACTCCCACTGTGTTTATTTTTCAATCTAATTGGTACCTTTAGGCTATTAACCATTCTACTTTTCCCTTTTGTTTAGTTCTATGTATTTATTTATCTTCTTTGTTTTTACTCCCTTTTCTCTCCAGCTCAGAATCCATAGTCCATAATTTCAATCACTTTCTGGTCAAGACCTTAATGCCCTTGCCCCTGTCCTTTCATCTTACCTCTGTATTCTAGTTCCCAGCAAGTCTCAGGATAGGAATATCAAGGCCTAAGCCTACTTTTAAATCATTTGAATGACTTTTTTTCTTGTAGATTGGCAGTTCCAATTTTATAGTAGAAACCAAACAAAATATTCTTTGATTACTGCTGTTTTCATTTTGTTCTATAGGAGTTTGATAAAGAAGTTAAAAGTTTTGTGTTTGTTCTGGAAGGCAGCAGCCAAACAAACAAAATTCAATTACCAAAGGAGAATAAGCAAATCCGTAAGTACGATTTTTTAATATTGAAGCTTAACATTTGATACTTAAAGTTATGCTTTTATGTCTCCTGAACAGGCATATCAGAATGACTTATACTGACATCTGTTGATATAAAGTGATGTGATTTTTTTTAATTTAAAAGGTAACTATATGCCACGCACTATGCTAGGCTTTTTAAAAAATATATTCTACCTCACTGTTTAGTAGAAATCTAAAAGTATTTTTAAGGAGACTTAGAAGATTACTTAGTACCCAGTAATTATAATAATAGTATTTATTGAGCACTTACTGTGTACCAGGAACTTTCTAGGCATTTTACATTTATTAATTCTCTTTAAATCCTCCCATTAGCTCTTTTACAGATGAATAAGCTAAGGTTGGTTCCTCATCAAGATATAGGAAATTAATTTGTGAGAAAAAATATTTTAAAAATATTGTATAAGGCATTATTTAGTGATATATCAACTCATACCTTTAAGAATATTAGTATTTAATAAGAATAGATACAAATATGTGATTTAACAAAAGCGCAAAGAGTAGATTTCAATTCTTTCTTACTTTAGAAATTAAGATCATCATTTTAAAGCAAAGAAACCCTGAGAGATAACCTAAATTTAAGATCAGAAGCCCAGTTATTGGCATAGATGGGGTTAAAATTCAAGGCTCTACCATTAGATTAGGCTTTGAGTAAACTGATGTGGTTTAAAGAATATAATTATCAAATGGTTAATCAGATTTTCCATCAACTGTGTCCTATGTTTTAAATATTGATTTCAAACGATCTAGCAAATATAAGTACACAATTCTTTTTTACATTCATTATTTACTTATTCTTTCATTCATTCATTAAGAACATAAATTGAATACCTAGTATGTAGCAGGCACTATGAAAAGACTTTTTGTTGGTATCTGATAGTCCAATTTAATTCAGTTTTCTGAACTTACACAGGCTCTGTGCTTTATGTACCATTTCAAGCTACTACATCAGAGTTTAAATTTCTAAGACATTATCTAAGCCATAGAAGTTATAGATAGAAAATGGTTTATTTTAAAGTGGTTTGCCAGTGTGTCTTTCTAAACTAAAATAAGAAATAGACTGCAGAGAAAAAGAGAAGAGATGATCACTGGTAAAAGAATTTTTATTAATTTACTACCATTTTAAAATCATGGTTTCCTAATAGTTCATGTGTGTGTGTGTGTGTGTGTGTGTGTGAGAGAGAGAGAGAGAGAATTTGTGTGTAATAGCAGGGTTTTTTTCATTTCCACATAAATTTATACTTATAATTGAGGTGAACTAAAATGAGCCAAGGAAACATGTCTGAAACTGTAGTTTCTTCTTACAAGAGACACGGTCCCTTTTTTTAAGGATATTGACTTTATAAGATAGCTACATTTCATTTTCAGGAATATGACTTTGTTCTAAGCCAGTGTTAGTTCTTTTATTTTTTTCCTTATTGTTCAACTTATAAAGCCCACCTGTACTTCATTTAATGCCCTCAGCATCTGTGCACATGGTTAAGTTATTGATAAAATCAATTACTTTTGGTAACCTTTCTCATTTGGCTCTGAGAAAGATTCTTCCTCTACCAAAGCCTAAGTGATTAAATACAAGTTACTCGTTCCTACTCTTATCGAAAGTTTTTTAAAGAAACAAATGAAGTTTAATGTGTTATAATTACTTTTTAAAATGGAAAGATGATGGTTTTAATTGTAAAAAACAGAAGAATCTTTTAATGTATTTCCTGTACAATGCCCTATAATTAAAAATTATTCAGGCTTTTCTGTAGCACATGCAGCACTGTAACAAATGAAATAGTTTACATAGTATGACCTGCACTAATGCCTTTTAAGATTAATTATTTGGAATTTTTGATAATGGAAATTTATAGTTCTTTTTACTTGTACAAAATGACCTTCTGTGTGAAGTTGGTATGGTTAAATTTAAATTAAATGGCATGTATTGAATATAGAATTGGCTTTCAATTAACATTTCTAAATTAAATTACCATATTATATATTCCTATTTTAAGAGTAAACATCTACTCTATTTATGCAAACTTGACATTAGGTACTCCATATGTGTTTCTGACTATATTAAGTACTTCTTAGGAAGAAAGTTTAGTAATGAAATTAAGTATATTTAACTTTTCATTTTAAATAGTAATATTTCTGAACTAACTTATATTTGAGGATCTCTTAAGATGTCAAATTTTCTTTTCGCTCAGCACTTATCAAATAAAGGGAAGTGAGATATTGATTATCAGATTGTGCGCAGGGCAGGGATCTTGAATCATCTTTTTTGTACCCCTAACTTTGTGTCTAGTATTAATACATAGTTGGTGTTAAAATAAGTTTGTTAAATTTGCTGCATTAAGAAATTATGATGCTTTGGGTTAGAATTTTTAATTATGACCAGCTGACCTTGATATAAGACTTGAGTAAATCCCTCTCCAGCTAAATAAATAAATCCCTGCTGCTCTTCACCTTGGAACATACTATATAGAGTTGCCCATATGAGAATCAGCTCTGTCACACATAAGTATCTATTTAATATCATTTGGAGGGTCTTCTCCAGGACTTTCTATTTGAGGCTCATGTTTGAAACCATTGTTTTTTCTGCCTATGTCATCCGAATCAAATGGTGTGGTCATCTCTGGGGATCAGTATCCCTGAAGTTTCAGCTCTAAGTTTCAGCTACTCTGGAGGATGAGGTCTTCTTCGTGAGGTTCCCCCTGAGCTTCTTCATGCCCCTACTGTAGTATTCTTGTTAAAATAAGTCTCATCATGACTTCCTCTGTTTAAAACTCTTCAGTGGCTTTGACCTCACCACTCTACTGATGCTGCTGTTGTCAAATCACTAGTGACCTCTATATTTCTGAATCCAATGGCAAATTCTCAGCCCTCATCTTACTTGACATATTAGCATCATTTGAGATAGTTGATACCTCCTTGATACACTTTCTTCACTCATTTCCAGGATATCCGCACTCTTAGTTTTTTTCCTACTTCACTGATCTTCTTTTGTAGTCTCCTTCAGCAGTTCTTCCTCTTCTCCACAGCCCAACTTAATGTTCCAGTGCCCCTGGACTCAATCCTTGGCCCTCTATTTACATTTACTGTCTTGATTGTTGACTTCTAGTTCATGGATTTAAGTACCATCACTGTCTTAATCCAGCTTACATTTTAAGCTCAGACTTCTCTCCTAAACCCCAGACTTGCATATCAGCTTACTTACTTGACATTTCTACTTGGACATCTTAAATGCAATATGTCCAAAGCCTAACTCTGGTCTTTACTTCTTAAAATTCCTTTTCCTCCTGTAGGCTGCCCTATTTCAGTTGTTAGCAATTTGTCTTTTCAATTGTTTAGAATAAAAACTTGTAAATCAGCTTTGATTTTTCTTTCTCTTCATTAAGTCCATCAGGAAGATCTTATTGGTACTATTTAAAGTAGATCGAGAGCCTGACTACTTCTTGGTACCTCCAGTGCCACTGCCCTGGTTCAAGCCACCATTATCTCATGTTTGGATTATTACAATAGTCTTCTAATTGGCCTCCCTGTTTCTGACTTGTGCTCTCTACAGTCTGTTGTTAAATTAGTAGCCAGAGTAATACTTTTAAATTTTAAGTAATATGTGAATCATGTCACTTCTCTGCTGAAAATGCCCCATCTCTCTCAGATTAAAATCCCAAATCTATAAGACTCTGTAGTATCTGGTATCCTCTGAACTCTCTGACCTTATCTCCTATTACTCTTTTCCTTGTTTACTCTGCTCCAACCATATAGGTCTCGTTGCTGTTTTGAAACATAGCCCAGGGCTCTGCCACCTTACCACCTGTGTACAGGATATACCTCTACCTAGAGCTTCCTCCCCCACCCCCAAAATAGTTATATGGATCAGCCTCTCCATTCTTTAAGCCTTTACTAAAATGTCACCTTTTCAGTGAGGCCTGCCTGACCTGTACTAAAGTTATAACCTGTACTTTATATCCCTTCTCCACTCTTGATCCTTTTTATCCAGCTCTACTTTTTCCCATAGTACTTACCATCATTTAACGTGCTGTGCAATTGTTATGTTTATTTATTGTTTTTCTTGCTATCACCAAAAAGTAAGCCTCACTAGCTGAGAAAATTTAATCTGTTTTGTTCACCTAGAATAGTGCTTGGCACATATTAATAGTAGACATTCAGTAAATCTTTGTTGAATAAATGAATGTATAAGTGGCTTCCCATTGATTTTAGGATGACCTATGATCCTTCATGTGACCTTTAAAACCCCACATGATTGGGTCCTGGCTACTTTGCCAGACCTATCTCCTGCTGCGTTTCCTCTTCTGTCTTTCCTACCAGCCTGCTAAGCCCTTTTTAGATTCATCCAATCTACTATGTCCTTTTTCATCACAGGAAGGACTAGTCCTTCTACCTGCAGTATCTGTTCCTTTCTACTACACCCATCCCCCTTGTCCTGTCAATTCCTGCTTATTCTTTCCAGCTGAGTTTTAATGTTATTTCAAGAAAACCTTTACTCATCATCTTCTTCCCCCACAAGGACCCAGGGTTACATGCTTTCATAGCACCCTGACCACCTCCTTCATGGAACTAGAATGTAAGTTCTAAGAAGGCAGAGACCAAGCATGTCTTCATTGCAAAAACTTAAGTATTGAGTCTTACACATGGTGGCTGCTCAATAAATCTTTGTTGAATGATAGAGCTAATTTAATCTGTATAAATAATGCTGTGAGGTGTAAATCTAAATTATTAATCCAATTTTACAGATGAAAAGTAAAAGGATCCAGACAGGTTTTCTCATTGCTCAAGGAATGTGAACTAGCCTATAATGAAGGCATAAATTATTCCTGTTTTGTGTGTTGAAGTGAGAGGGAAAAAATAGGTAAAAAATAGGTAGACAACAGATTATAAAACTGCAAAACCTGTATATTTCAGTAAAAAACTAAATTTGTATGAATTTTATGTACTTGATGGACATTTTTTGACTAACGTTC